ATGATATTACATATTACATATCTCATGACTTTGTGATGCAACTATTCTTATTTCGGCTCAAAATAATGCCACTGAAACTTGGGAAGCAAACAATAGTCGACATTTTCGACGTATCCTATGCTCATTTATAACGTGACTTCTCTATGAGGTGATCCGAGTAAACTCTCCAAGAGCGTCGTGTTTACCATTTACACCAGTCTGATTTACACAAAATTTCCGGAAATTTTCGGATTAGTGATCACAAGTTTCGGGTCAGTGAACATGACGTATTAGAACTTTCCAAATATGGTTAATTGAAATCGGATTAATTAGAGTTTGTTTTATATTAGTATAAACATATTATAAAACTTATTAATAATGCATAAGCTATTGCTCCAATAAGGGCTGACCATTTAATCAGGTGATTGACCTTGTAAATCTGATACAACCACTAGTGGTTGTATCAGATTTACAACACGGTCGTCACCATTGAGACAACCCAACACTAGCAAAGGTCTCAGTTTTAGTGTCGCATCATAGACCTTCACTAGGTTTTGAAGCAATCAAAGACGGATAACAGAACTCGCTTATGCAACAGATGGCTTGCTTTCCATGTGGGATGGATAATTATTCAAAATGTTCTGTGTTGCAGTAAATTGCGCATGCTTAATAGGGACTAAACTCAGCAGTTACCTTATTAGTCATTTTTCGTCATTTATCTCACTGTAATTCATGTTAATTTGTGTTGGAGTTTTATAAGTCGTTTACAACATTCGCGTCCGTGTTGTATGGGAATTACAATCTCTCGCCTGCGGCTCGAGATTGTAATTCCCATACAACACGGCCGCTCATGTTGTAAACTATACTTAATGGTCTATCACTCATACTGCGGTGTGATTGGCTACTCTACTAATGGTCTAATATGTGATAGACCACTCGCGGGAAAATCAATCTCATTAATAAGTTATTTTAAGTTATTTCAATTTGTTTTCATTATTTGACCGATTAGTATGTTTATACTAAAACAATTAGACCTCTCGGCCTCGTGGACTACGAGCTAATAGTCCATTCGGCCTCGCAGACTCGGCCTCATGGGCTATTAGCTCGTAGTCCACTCGACCTCGAGATCTAATTTTTAAGTAATTGGCGCATTTTCATGCACAGCTCAAAAGACGTGAATAAAACGAAAGGGAGGTTAACTTGCTTAGAAGTTTAATGTTGGTTGAATCTGCTAATGATAAAATTGAAAATTCATTTTTGACAACAACGAAACGAGAATAGACCTCTGCAGCTTTTACGTCTGTACGTCTGTACGTATACGCAATGCATTGTAGGACATGTTTGGGACAGAACATGGCGGATTTCTTTTGTTTTCTCTCGAAACTGATCTCACAATGCATTAAAAATCAAGTAGTGACGTGAAAGGTTCAGAAGTCTATTAACTCCGTGCATTACCAAGAAACGAAGGTTTTTTTGAAGTTGTAATCCAAAATATTGCATCATCTTCGAAAGCCACTTTAGGATGACAAGAACAACTTTCGAGTTGCTAGCACAAAACATCGCCCAAACAGGCAAAATACCAACAGCTAATAGGTTTGGAAAAGCACCAATACCTTTAGAAAAACAAGTTCTAAATTAAAAAGATGAAAGACCTGCGGCTATATTGGAGGATTGAACAACAGATACTAATGGAAAATCCTTTTTTAAACTTCCTCCAAGATGGCCGCTGTGAAGTAGCCTGAAAACGAAGAATTGCCCTTTRCTCCTTTTCCTTAGAGTTCTATATAATAGACGCCCTGAGAGCCAGCTGGAGAGTGCGCTTTCCATTTGCGAAGCTGGCCAGATCCAAACGGAACCATTATCAATCATTCCTCTTCCAGAAGAAGCATCATTTTCTAGATTTTATCCAATAGTATAATGAGAAACTTTAAAAATGATTAAAAAATCTCAACAAAGGTATGATTTACTGGCCGGCTATGAAATGGAAATTGCGCCTGCTGCACCTGAAAATCTTCGCCGCTTAATTTTCAACCAATCAGACCTTTAGAACCTAGTCTCCTAACATTTTCCAGATATCAGCGGTTTCCAAGATGGCGGACAACGTGCTCTGAAAAAGTTACAAGTTTGAAAGTGAATCTTTCTTTGTGAAGTTTTATATGGATCTTTTTGTGGTAAATCGGTATATGGGAGATGATGAAGRTGAAGATAAGGTGTCAAAAGAAGAGAAGGAATTGAAAAAATTATCTTTGTTGAAGGAACATATTGAGAAAAGAAARCGAACAGCAGTCACATTGGATGTCAAAGATCAAGAAGAAACTCCAACTAGCAAGAAAACTAAAAAAGTAAAGCTTAAAGACAAAAAGAGAAAATCCTCGGTYTCGCACACAGATGATACTCAAGAAGAACAGATTTTGGAAGAACAGAACAGACAAGGAAACACAGAAATTACTAGCCAAAGTACAATAACTCAACGATTAAAAGATGAATCTTCACTTGAAGAAAGCAGTTTCACTGTTATTGGAGGGAAAAATAAAAAGGAGGAGGCTAATAAAGTGCTCAAAACCCTTCCAGAGTGGCTTTCAAAGCCAATGATCATTGAAACAGATTTAAGTGCAAATCTTTTATCAGTTGAGAATCTGAAWTGTCTCACTCCACACACAGTAAAACAGCTCAGGTTTCTTGGAATTAAGTCATTGTTTCCTGTGCAGAAAGCTGTAATACCTGCTGTATTGGACACTGTACATCAAGGGTCATTGYTTTGTCTTGGGGGTGATAAACCAAGTGATATATGTGTTTCAGCTCCAACAGGAAGTGGCAAAACTCTCTCATATGTTGTACCTATTGTGCAAATGTTGGCCAGTTACAAAGTTTGTCTCTTACAGGCCTTAATTTTGTTACCCACCAAAGACCTTGCATGTCAGGTTAAAGAGGTCTTTGATGCTTTCATTGAAGGAACAAGTTTAAAGGTTGGACTTGCATGTGGGAATAAAGCTTTTGCAAAGGAACAAGAAAGTTTGATTGGACAAAGGTAAGTWTTTTAGGTTTAGCAAATTATKTTTCACTGAAAGACTACTGGAACTCTTTAAAGTCCCATTTAAGGCCCATTAAAGRYACCATTATGCTTTGCRCACCTCTGTTATTGTTATGATTTACACCAAATTACTTCTAGTATCCAAATATCACYATAAAACGAATTTCAGATGGTTGAAAATTCTYATATTAGTGTTTACAGTGCTTAKAAAAGTGAGATGGTCAAAGATTAAAACACAGTACAATTTATAGACTTTTGGTAAACYGAAAATGGCTGCCTCCTGGCCCWYGGAGGCCCCCAAAGSATAATGGTGCACACTGGGSCTTCMAATRCTTGTGCATTAAGTATGCTTTGTACATATAGMCRATGTTTTGTACAAAGAAAGATGTTCAGTTTTTGCATTGGAGCCTGTCAGGAAGCTTATAACAGTGTTTTACTGTAAGGGTTTTGAGTGTTTTGTCATATTTAGTTTTTTAAATTTAGCTTAGTTTTTTAATTGGTTCTATTCTTTGTGTAAATGTTTCAATACCTTAGGCTGTCAATTTRCCAGTGGTGTACCCTGAGTTTCAGAGAATGGAAAGTACCATTTTCTTATACTAGTAGTTTGTTTAAGGTACAAAGTGCTGTTAGTTTTGAGGCTGTTAAGTTGAGATGGTAAACCAACTTCTGAAGGCATGGATAGTTCATATATAATGTTCCACTTAAAATTAGAACAATATAATGGGCAMAACGGAGTTGTCAACACCACATGAGTGCACAAGCCATTAATGTCAAATGTTTTGACCTTWAATCTTTTTCTCCACGAATGTGGAGCTAGCTACTTTTTTGTATTAATAAGAAATACTGTATAGACCATGTGGACTTAACAGAAGCATACTGAATTTATACATGTAGTTTACCATGTTTCTCTATACATGTATATAGAGTTCTAATTACTTTCAGGTGGAACACATCAAACAGTGACCTGTAACTAATGTAAATGTATATTAAATGTCTTGATGACAGCTTATCCACAGGCTCATTCAATCATTGTYATAATTTTAAGTGTCTAATTGACTGTAACATTCAGGGTCTGTATGCATGTGGAGTGCTAGCATGAAAGTGAGATTTGCTACCAATGCCACAGAGTTTAGATTTCTGTTTTCCCCTWCATGCAAACTCAGATTAAATGATAAAGAAAGTGTGAATTCTAACCTCTGATACCCAGATTACTAGTGGTAACACAACTCAAAGATTGTTTAGTATAGTAGGASAAAAATCTAAATGCAACTCAGAATTTGTCCAATATTGGTAACTTTTGATAGAAAAGCAAAATTGTGTTTAAGAAAAAGGTTACCCAAACCAAATGGTTTCACAAATGATATTAGGACACACTGAAGTTTACAGGAAAGTGAGTGAGTGACAGACCTTTCCTCCTCCATTAATTCTTAGATTGCTTACAATGTGTTCAAAAGGAAAATCCAAAATATCAGAGATATTAGTCATATTAATCAGAGCAATTAGCATGCTATGCAGTGTAAAGACAGACMTTTTTTGTGATATTGAAAAGGCTTGAGATCACCTTTTTCCTAATACTTGGTGCTTCAAATTACCACCCTAAAAGAAAACTAGCTATATGTACATACATCTCATCTTTAAAAAATAGTGAGATTCATGTGTTAGGTCAGCRAGAGAATGGAATAGTATTAAAAGTAGGAAAAGAGGGATATCAAAAAAGGAAAAATTTARTCAATGTCATATCCTATTTTATTCTGGATAATATGGTTGGAGATTTCCAAATTAAGAAGAGTCATAATTCTAGAGACATCAACTCCCTGTACAATTTGGAGAAGTGTAGAAAGGCTTGGATAGTCAATATTGAAGTGTGTGGGATGCGAATGTAATGAAGGCAACACTGATGCAGTAAGAACCATCATAAATAAAACTGTATGTACATATTGTAAGGAACTGTGCCATTTGTTGAAAAGCACAAAATCTGAGGCTTCCTCACTACATACAGTATACAAAGGAGAGCAAATTCAAGTCATGGGGAGAATGACAGTATTTCTAGTCAAATTTGAATGATAAATGAATGAACTATTAACTTTCATGGTGACAAGGATCATCTTGTTTAATGTCAGCAGTGGAATTCAGCAAATAGGCTGCAAGCATTTGTGGGAGACAATGGAAGTAGCTTTACCAGTGAAGAATTTTTGAATAGACTTTGTGTCTGAAAAAGGAATCAAAACATGTCAAAGTGCACCATGTCACCCTGCTTGAAGACATGYTTTAAAAAATATGAAGGAAGTGTGAAATCAAGATTGTGATGGTTCCTTTAACCACTAGAGTAATCACAGCATAAAAGTCTATGCACCAAACTGAAAGTTTGGCACCAAACATAGAAGAATATGTCAGGCAAATTATTTCACCAAAAAGCAACCATGGTTATCATGTCAAATAGAGAGTCTTGTTGTCTTTGATGACCCTGTCTATGCTTTTGATTTCATCACCAAGATTACAAGAAAAAAAGAACTGTGTCCACCAAAGTTATAATACCTCAACACAACAACCACTCCCAACTTGGAGCAAAGATAGGTTAGGGYCAATAGCAATTCTGTTAGATTGGACTATAGTCCAACACTAACAATGAGCAATGTCTTGAAGAATATTGGTTGGCTCACAAATTTGTAAAGAAGGCACAATCCGATTCAAGCTAATTCCATGAACTTATTGTGAGGTTTTTGCTAAGTCTGATTTTCAACTTAGGCATTTGAAGGACTACATATAGCTGATTCAAGCTTGCTTCCACTTCTCACATTTTACTAGAAGAGGCAGGAGATAAGTGTATCACATTTTGAGCACATGACTTTGTTAATAGTTAAGTTAGGAATTGTGGTTTGATAATTGAACTTCTGGTTCTAAAGCATTTTACGGATTTTCTTGCCCTCAGTTACAACTACATGTACAGGCTGCATCTCTCAATC